TACCGTTGGCTTAAGAAATTTTGGATATAACATCAACAATTTAGGTTCTTGTATTATTATCCAATACCTATTTGTACATATTGATTATTTACTGCTTTTCTGAGAGACTTGAATGACCTAAACTCATTCGTTTTCGTTGTTTTAATGGACTCCGCGTGGAAGTGCTATAATAATATACGATGTAGAAGGATCAATAATCGTAGAAATTCAATACAATTGCTTACTAAAGTTTTGAAAAGAACTCTTATTAAAGAAATAACATAAAAAAAACTAATAATGATAAGATAACCAATTACACAACATAAAATGTCAGAATAGAACTGTCAACATCAGCTAAAAAGTAATATGTGAAACGTGTTAAACTGACTGCAATCGTACCAATCAGAAGTCTACAGAACTTAAATTCAAATCGCTTCTCTTAGTTTAAAAACAGAGTATAGAAGGTTATCACAAATTGAATTAAATGAAACTTTAGCGGCCTTATAGCATCAATCCTATTTGACCATCTAGTATCACTTAGGGGTTTTAGATTTAACTTCTGGACATGCTTTTTTATAATAAAAATACATAAAGTTCTTGTACAATATTGTGACGAAAGTCTAATTTATTTAAAGTTTATTTATTTAAAAACACACTATTTAAAATTTATTTCAGACGAACTATTTAATTTATATAATACTAACTAACAATTCTAATTTATTTCTTACACTTAAGAGCAAACATAACGGGCGCCCTCCGCCAAAAAACAATTTTACATTTGGGGCAGTTAAAAAAAATTTTAAAAAATGGACCAGGCCAATCGTTCTAAAAATGAACCAAGAATGACGCTAAATCGCAAAAAACTTATATTTTTAAAGAAAAACAACAAAAATTTCAACTTTTTTACAAATTTAATTTTTTGGCTCTTTAGCGTCATTCTATAACAAATATCTTAACTATTTTCTAAATAACTTTTTTTTAAAAAGATTACCAATTTTAAACAGGACCGAAGATTAACATAGTTTTCATTCCGATACTAATTCTATTAAAACAATGATACCAGTGAATATGGCAACGCTGCTAGTCTATGAAGCCCGTGGTTAAAAGGGTAGCTGCTGTTTAGTTAAATTTGTTAATTCTTGTGTCGAAAAATAGGTAGTTGTTTTTGAAGAGGTGCGAAATTATTCTGATCGTCTTAGTTTGTTGCTGAGGCGTTGTTAGGTTTTTGTTTAATTTAGTTTTTAGTTAATTTATGAAATGAAAAATTCTGGAAGGCAAAAATGCTACCACAGCTGACAAATTTTTATTTTAATTGTTTGCTGACAGTGTCAGTAAATCCTAGAGAAATACGACATGTGCCAATTAGGGAAAAAAATTTGTCAAGAATTTTGCCCGCTTAAAAAAATATGTAAAATTCAGGAGGTGATTGCTCGTATGAAATTAAGATGGGTCTTTCCTATAACAAAATTTTTTCAGCCCACCCCTTTTCGAGATATCATCCTTAAAACGTGGTGACTAAAATTGAGTTTTTATTTTTTTTCTAAAATTTCAGTAAAGCTAGAAACTTGAAATTCTGTAATCGCAAAGGACTAACCACGGGTATTTTTTCAATATTCCTGTTACATTATAAGAGAAAAAAAAAATAAACACCCTAATTTATAATTTTTTTTAATAAATTGAGTGGAAAACAGTATTTTTTTTCTATGAAGCTATTGGTTTTGGGAAAAAAATTGAAAAATAAAAAATTTTTTTAAATAAAACAAGGATTTCAAGTTACAAAATTATTTCATAAAATTTCATCTCGAAAAAAAGTTTTGATATGAAATAAAAGAAGGGTTGCTAATTTCACCCCCCTATAATGTAACAGGAATATTGAAAAAATAACCGTGGTTAGTCCTTTGCGAGTGCACGAAAATTACAGAATTTCAAGTTTCTAGCTTTACTGAAATTTTAGAAACTCAATTTTAGTCACCACCTCTTAAGGGTGATATCTCGGAAAGGGGTGGGCTGAGGAAATTTTTTTATAGGAAAGACCCATCTTAATTTCATACGAGCAATCACCTCCTGAAATTTGTTGCATACATTTTTAACACCGTGTATAGTTGGTATATTAAGGTGAATGCAGCAGCCTTTATAATTTTCGGACAAGAATATTTCAATAAGTAATTTGGTTACAAAATTAAAATTTTGGCAAAATAAATTAAGTAATATTAACTAGATATATTCCTATATTTTAAAGTTTTAATTCCTTTCAGTTTCCGAGAAAAAAATCCAATATGATAATGAAAATAAATGCATTCCTCAACAGCACTATTCTTAATATAATCCCGAAATTAAAACTCTTAATGTAATGGTAATGATTTTTTTAAATTCGCCAAAATTAGTGGCTAAAACGTCTCGTTAAGTGCTGCCTTCTGGTGTAACGCGCTTGTAACTATCGTATCGTATACTCTGTCATTATTCGTTTCTTGCAACAATTTACACCAGTTTACACCAGAAGATAGCACTTAACGAGGCGTTTTAGCCACTAATTTTGGCGAATTTTAAGAAATCATTAACAAGACATTAGGAGCTTAAATTTGTGGATTATATTATGAATAGTACTGTCGAGGAATGCATCTATTTTCATTATGATATTTCAAAATTAAAGCCATTTTAGTTTTTTTCGGAAACTGGAAGGAATTAAAACATTAAAATATATGCATATTCTAGATATTATTGCCTAATTTATTTTGACAAAATTTAAATATTTTGAGATATTCTTGTTCAAAAATAATAAGGGGTGTGATCACCTTAAGATTGAAAGAGAATTAGCTTTAATTCATGAAATGCAAAGCATCATAATTGTCGCGTCACAAAAAC